ATTTGTACAATATTTTATTTTTTATTCTCTTGCATCTTATGATCTGCCAGGCAGATTTGTTGGAGTATTTTCCATCTTCTGTAGGATTCCATATGGCATAATCATTTTCATTCTGATCTTCAATATTAATACTGGTAATGTGTTGCACGGTTTGTACATCAAGAACCCTGCCAAGCTTTTTCAAGTTCCATTGACCTCCTATAATGTAATCCTTAATAGAGCTCATTTTATTACCAACTACTTCAGGGAACAAAGTTGCTAAAATGCCTTTCTCTATCCAATTATCCCACCAAAAGCTGCAATTACCAGCATTAACTTTCCACGTGACATTTGACTCCACATTCTTCCTAACTAGAGTAAGATGTTTCCAGGCATGAGAGTCTCCAGAAGCCCAAACTTTAGATACTGGATGAGACCTTATACAATATTTGGCTTTAAGGAAAGAAGCCCATAGCGATGGTTGAGTTCGGAGTCTCCACCACCTTTTCATAGCAAGCATATTATTAATATCAACCATGGTTCTAATGCCAATACCACCCTCATCTTTGGGAAGACATAAATTTTTCCAAGAGCTCCAGTGGTATTTTGTTTTATCACTAGTAGATCCCCAAACAAATCTAGCCACGTGTTTTTCCAGTAGGTTCAAGGTGCCCTTAGGAGGACTCATAGCAGACAAGGTGTACAAAGGCAGGGATTGCAAGACACTTTTAATCAAAATCACCCTGCTACCATAAGACAACATTTTTTCCTGCCAACTGTTAAGTCTTTTGGTCACTTTAGTCAACATTCCATCAAAATATTCAAGTTTCTTCCTTCATATGTATAAAGGACAACCAAGATAATTGAATAGGAAGTTTTTTTCCATAAACCCCGTGCATTCCCTCATCCTGTTTATTCTATGTGCCCCAGCCTTTGGATCAGTGAGGAAGAAACTCTTATCTTTATTAACTCTTTATCCTGAGGAGGTTTCATAGTTTCTTATCTGCTTCATAATGAGTTTGACTGATCTATTGTTGCCACCGGTAAAAATGACTATGTCATCAGCATATACCAGGTGATTAATAAGAGGGTCTCTGGAGCTCATGGTGAAAGGAACAAAATCAGCACTTTCATGAAGGGCATTAAGGGATCTAGATAAGACCTCTGCTGCCAGGATAAATAAAGAGGGGGAAATGGGATCCCCTTGCTTGAGTCCCTGAGACGAAGTAAAAAACCCTCTTCTAGTGCCATTAATGATGATTGAATACCAAACATCTAAGATCATCCTCCAAATCATGTCTATCCAATGGTCATCAAAACCAAATCTTTTTAGAACTTCTACCAGAAATGACCAGGACATCCTGTCATATGCCTTAGCCATATGTAGTTTTATAACCATATTCCCTCCCCTATTGGTTTTGGAAATATTTTGAATGATTTTCTGGGCTAACAAAATATTTTCTGAAATGAGCCTGTCTTTAACAAATCTACTTTGATTAGCAGAGATCAAATTGGGAAGAAGAACGTTGAGTCTTTCTGCCAAAACTTTGGAAATAATGGTAGTGAAATTACTAAGACTAATCGGTCTTAGTTCATAAAAACTAGAAGGGGACTCAACTTTAGGGATAAGAACTAAACATGTGTGAGAATAAAACTTTATAAGATTCTTCCCATTAAAGAATTCCAAGACAAACTCAACCACATCCTTCTTAATTATCTCCCAGCAGTGTTGGAAAAAAGGTCCCATTGAAGCCATCAGGACCAATTGTGCTCTATGCACTAAGACTGAAAATAACATTTTTTATTTCAGTTTCATCAGGGATAGATGAGAGTATTAAATTGTCAAAATCAGTGAGGCACCTCGGAATGCAAATAAGTACATTGTGCTTGATCACAGGTTGAGGAAGATTAGACAACTTTTTAAAATGGTTAATGACAGTCTTGGCAATTTTTTCATCCCCCTCGACCCATCTTCCCTTGCTATTCTTTATTCTATGAAGTTGTAATCTTCTTCTTCTTTCTCTTAGAACACAATGAAAATACTTAGTATTGTAGTCTCCCTCCTGAAACCACTTGGTTTGAGTCTTTTGTTTCAAAAGAGACTCTTGTAAACCCAACCATTTTATATATTCTGCATGAGCCCGATTGAGTTCTTCCCTACTATTCTCAGAGTTCATCTGAATATCAAGATATTCAAGTATATGGACCTTAGCTTCCCAATCACCAATCTGTTGGTGGATATCACTCACAATTTCCCTGGACCATTGACTAAGCTTCTTTCCCAGGGTTTGAAGTTTAGTCTTTAGTCTCCACATAGCATTCCCTATAACATGAATGTCCCATACTCACTGAACCACCTCCAAGAAATCTTGTTGTTCAGTCCAGAAATTCAAGAATCTGAAATACTTAATGATCTCATGTTGATCACTATGGCATTTCATTAGAAGAGGTCTGTGGTTTGAGCCTGTCCTTACCAAATGTTTCACATAATTATGTTGAAAAACTTGTACCCATTGATCATTAACAAAAATTCTATCCAATCTTTTCCAAATTCTTTTTCTTGGCCTCCAATTGTTGCACCAGGTGAATTTAGGGCCAGTGAAGCCAATGTCACTGAGACCACAAGTTTCCATTGTAGTAACAAAGTCAAAACTCCTGTGAGCTCTGTGGGGTCTGCCACCCAACTTTTCATCTGGGTCCATGATAACATTGAAGTCTCCTCCAATACACCATGGTCCGTCAATGATCATGTTAATATTATCTATGCTGCTCCAAAGATCTTTCCTTTCTACAACTGTGCACTTTGCATAAACTGCAGTGACATAAAGACCTTTATCATGCATACTATCTTTTATGTGTAAAGTAATTTGTTGTTCATCATTAGCAACAACAATTGGGTCACATTAACTGTTCCAGAAACAGTAAGGAACAAACTTTTGATAGTATGTTTAGGGGTTCAAAACATTAGTTGAAATCCATTGGAAAAGATAGCTAAGATACTGTTAAAATTTTGATTGTTTACCTCGGTAGTTTAAGATAATATCTAATTATCTCGACCTCAACAAACAAGTCACCATACGATAATTCACATTAACCATTCATAAAAACTTTTACTTTATTCTTTCACGTAGAATTATTTACTCAAAGTTTTATCTTAATAATATGATATAATTTTATAATATCGTTTATTACATGAATAATATATATGTTCAATGCATGTGCCGAGAAACTAGTTAGCCCAAAAAATACTAAGCTGTTTGAGAGCCTTGCGAATTGCGACGGGAATTGAAAGAGAAGAAGCAGCAACTAATATTGGAGCAACGCACCAGCTTTTGGGAACAAAAACACTTTGTTGGGCCGCAAATAAACGTTACAACAAGCTACCTCTACTAGCAAATAATGCGAGTCTTAAATAATACACCTATTCTGCAATGTTTGGTTTTGAATTGTTTAGCTCTTCAATTTTGACTCATATACAGATTAGCGAATTGGAAGTTGAACCTTGTTTAATAGGGACACTTTAAAAGGCAATTCTCTGGACTCAAGGCTTATATAATTGACTTTATATATTAATTATGGGTAAATTAGATAAGTTGCTATGATAAGTTGAGATGGGATTAACAGATGGAAACTAGGGTTAAGGAAATTAAGAAAATTCATAGAACTCTACATGAATGGGATTTGGACGAATATATTATGAATGGGTAGTAATTGGTAGTTTGTGGATTAATGTGTTTACCATACAATGGACACACACAATTTGATGAATTGAGGGTTCGGCATGAAACCTCAAGCGGTGGTTATTGTGAATCAATTCTATTGCTAGTTCGTGAAGTTGATACTTAGATTCATTTTGTGACAATATAGGTAGTTGAAGAAGCCGAACAGATTGCTCGCAGTAACATGTGCGGTATTCTGACACGAGTACTATAAGTAGTAACCTTACCACAACGTGTGCTTTCACAACTTCAAGATTTATACATGATTTGTGATTTATAAATGAAATGTGTTACCTAATGTGTTGAATATTGCATGTGGCACAGGTCCGTTCAATATATGATATTGAAAACAATTTTAACTATATTGATGATCTATAGCGGACTTTTACATGAGATATTCTTATCGTTATTGAGATGTTTTTATTTACTTGGACGTTTTACCGTTACTTGAAATATAGTTACTATGACAAGCTAAGTGCTTTTGTTATATAGCATCATATAAATATTCTACGGTATATAATATGAAAACATACTCCCTTCGTTTCAAAAAGAATAAACCTATTTTCTTTTTAGCTAGTTTCAAAAGGAATGACTTTTTTAATTTGAAAACAATTAAATCTTAAAAAAATTTCTTTTATCCTTAATGGTATGATTTATAGCCATACAAATATCTTGGATCGTTTTAGACGACAAGTTTTAAAAGTCTTTTATTTATTTTATAAGTTCAAATAAATTGAAACGGAAGTAGTATATATTTTACCTAATGCAGCTGAACTTCTGCCCAAGTTGGTAAATTCTAAATCTGAATGTTATTTTGGAGCAATCTTCTCGCAAAATCAACGCAAAGCATTAGCAGCACGTTTTTCATTCTATCTGTTGAACTTCATTCTTTTTTACGCCACTGTTCCAATTTCGTTTCCTTCTCCTTGATACGGTTTATTTCCAGTTCCAGTCTCTACACAATTAATTTGCAAGTTTTGAATTTGGTTGTTCGGTGTCTTCTTTCCTTTTAGTTGTTGCTTTTGATCTCTTTATTATATTTTCATTGTCATAAATCTTTGTCTTGCAATCAGGTGAAATTGACAGAAGAAATGAGGCTTCTTGCAAAGGTGACGATGATGAATTTGCAGAGACAAGTTCTTATAATGTGATTTCCCCTATGATCAAGCTAAAGCATTGGGTGAAACAAATATAGATGCCGATCATATTGCTCCAGGTTTACCTTGTGGCGGTAAGGGATTTCTACTCATATATGCACAATTAAGAAAATTTGAGAGAGATTTATATAACGAATGCAAAGAGTAAGCTGTTGCTAGCTGAATCTAACTTCTCTGTGAAATTGAATAGGAGTAGGAAATCCTAACTTAAAATGTAGACGTATTACAATAGAATTACTACAAAATAATCTTCTAACTAATTAAAAAAAGAAGGGGAGGAACTTAATACATTATGAGAAATGATGGAAGGTGTAGCCCACTTTGGACAGGCGTCATCGAGCATTCAACAATGTGATGGTAATTTCGTTTATAGAACTAGGTGTTTGTGTACTCCAAGAAAATTCAACATCTTTAACATTCCTTTCAGTGAAAAAGCCAGGATGTTTAGGTGGTGGCAAAATGCCTTCATTGCTCAGCATCATAATCACAGTAGACATACTTGGCCTGTCCTCCGGATTCTGTTGAACACATAGCAATCCCACATGGATTGATCTAAGCACTTCTGATACGTAACATGAGTCCACCAGATTTGAATCGACTAGTTCCAATTGCCTTCCTTCTTTATGAAGCAGCCATGCCTGCATATCAAAGGATTTAAGTTATATAAACTATCAACTCTTGCACTATCAGCATAGTTTAACCCTGTGATAGTAATTTAGTTATGCCATTTTATGTTAGATTCAGAGATCAAAGGAAAATGAGAAACACCCAATTAGGGTTCTAAGAGAAGAGAGAAAAAGAAATATCTGACTTTTTCTATATTTTCTAAAGGTTGTACAAAATGATTCTATTTTTCTATGTATTGTTCTCAGAAGTTGGGCCTCTATATATATAGGACCCGGAAGCCCAAATACAATAAATACAAGATTTGAACTGGAGGCCCAAATACTAAATACAGTTGGACTTCCACACATACTAACTAATATCAGTTCCTAAGCTATCTTCTAAGCTATGAATCCCAACCCCCCCCCCCCCCCCCCNGTGTTCTCAGAAGTTGGGCCTTTTATCGAGGACCCGGAAGCCCAAATACAATAAATACAAAAATTAAACCTGAAGCTCAAATACTAAATACAGTTGGACTACCACATATACTAACTAATACCAAATTTTAAGCTATTTTCTAAACTATGAATCCCAACACCCCCTTCAAGTTGGAGGGTGGGACAATACCCAACTTGCCAAGATGAAGGTGGTGAACATTGCCAGGCAGGGATTTGGTGAAGATGTCAGCCACTTGAGAAGCACTTGAGGTATGAAGTAAGCTGATCAGCCCATCTGCGAGCTTGCTCCGGACAAAGTGACAGTCTAACTCAATATGCTTGATCCATTCATGGAATACTGAATTTTTTGCTATGTGCAATGCAGCCTGGTTATCACAGAAAATAGGAATGGAAGAATAAACAGGAAGACCAAAATCAACCAACAGTCTGGACAACCATATAACTTCAACAACAACTTTGCTTAATGAACGATATTCAGCCTCAGCTGAAGAAAGAGATACCACAAGTTGTTTCTTAGATTTCCAGCACACCAAACTACCACCCAACAAAATGCAAAAACCTGTAGTTGATCTTCTACTATCAGGGCAAGAGCCCCAATCACTGTCACAAAACACCTGAAGAGAAAGGTCTGAGGAATTGTTGAAGAAGATACCGTAATGTGAAGTACCATTAATGTATCTCAATAGATGAAGGGCAGCCTTCATATGAGGAGCACATGGATGCTGCATAAACTGGCTTAAATGCTGGACAGCAAAAGACAAATGAGACCTAGTATGAGTTAAAAAATCCAGCTTCCCAACAAGGTTTCTATAAACCTCAGGATTAGGCAAAGAATCCCCTACTTTAGCTTTAAGTTTCTCATGCAACTCAAGAGGAGAAATAATAGGAGAGCAGACATCACAATGAAACTCCTTTAAGAGATCATGAATAAACTTCCTTTGATGCAATAGAACTCCAGAAGAAGAATATAGCACCTCAATACCAAGAAAGTAATTAAGAAGACCCAAATCTTTAATTTTAAACTGATCATGAAGAAAAGCTTTTAAAGCAGGAACTTCCCCCAAATCAGTCCCAGTAAGTACAATACCATCTACATACACAACCAAGATGACAAGAGAGTCCCCAGAACCTTTGGTAAACAAAGAATAATCATTGAGAGTATGAGTATACCCTCTGGACTGTAAGGCTTGTGACAACTTAGCGTACCACTGCTCGGAGGCCTGTCTCAGCCCATATAGAGATTTTCTCAGCTTGCAAACAAGTGGGACAGAGGAGGATGTAGAAGGAACAGACAATCCAGGGGGTAGTCTCATGTAAACTTCCCCATCCAAATCACCATGTAAGAAAGTATTATTAACATCAAGTTGAAAGAGGGGCTAATTTTTCTTAACTGCCACAACAATAAGAGTTTTAATAGTGGACATCTTTATAACAGGGGAAAAAGTCTCATGAATATCAATTCCTTCAACTTGGGTATCACCCCTAACCACTAACCTTGCTTTATATCTTTCGATTGAACCATCAGCTTTGTATTTAACCTTATAAACCCATTTGCATCCAATTGGTTTCTTGCCACAAGGCAACTCAACTATATCCCAAGTTTTATTAGTCTCCAAAGCTTCAAATTACTGTCTCATAGCAGCCTGCCATTCAGGGACAGCTGCTTCCTGAGAATAGGTAGAAGGTTCAAAAACATGTTGCTTAACTAGACTAGAGGAGGATTCAGGAGTGGAGCCAATTAACTGACAGACATAGCTTTTAAGATATTCAGGTTGCTTGTGAATTCTAGAAGACCTCCTGAGAGCAGGAGGAGAAGAAGAATTGGAAGGGAAAAGAGGAACAAGAGGAGGAGAAATAGATGCAGAAGGTTGTGAGAGTGGAGGAGGAGAATTAGATGAGGGGGCAGGAAGAAAAGAGGCAAGAGTAATAGGAATAGGAGTGGAAGAAGTGGAAGTAGGAGAAACAGGAGGAAAAGAAGTAGCAGTAGAAAGGGAATCATCAAAACATACAGAAAAAGGAAAGGGACATAAACTGGAGGAATTTGTGGATGATTGAAGAAATGAAAAAATATGTTCATGAAAGACAACATCTCTAGACACAAAAAATGAGTGAGTCTCCAGATTATATAACTTATATCCTTTCTTAGCAAAGGGATAACCCACAAACACACAAGGCACAAATCTAGGTTGAAATCTGTCTCTAAGATACTTGGAAATAGTGGAATAGCAAAGACAACCAAAAGCTCTAAGATGAGTATAAACAAGCAATTTTCCATAGAGTAACTCATAAGGGCTTTTGTGATTTAGTAAAGGGGATGAAAATCTATTTAGCAAATAAATGGCAGTGAGAATACAGTCTCCCCAGAATTTAAGGGGAAGGTGAGACTGAAACAGTAGGCAGTCTCAAGTAGATATCTATGTTTTTTTTTCACCACCCCATTCTGCTGAGGGGTATGAGGGCAAGAAGTCTGATGTACAATACCTTTTTCAGAAAAAAATTGACAAACAGGCAAGCTGGACCCTAACTTTAGAGCATTATCACTCATAACAGTTTGGACTTTAGTTTGGAATTGAGTTTCTACCATGGCAATAAAAGCCTTTAGAATGTCAAAAGCATTGCTCTTTGCTCCTAAAAGATGAGTCCAAGTAGATCTAGTATGATCATCAACAATGGTTAAAACATATTTGGAACCAAAATATGTAGTGGTATGATAAGGTCCCCAGGTATCAATATGAAGTTAATTGGAAATGTTTGGTTGACTATATAGAACTATCAGGGAAAGGTAACCTAGTTTGTTTAGCCAAGGGACAAATGAAAGATTGTTTAGATGACAATTTGGTTCCAAGATCAGATACATGCTTCATTTTAGAAAAAGATAGATGCCCTAGTCTATAGTGCCAAACAACATCATCTTTATTCACTTTATTCATATGTACATCATCAGACACCTCAGCAGAACTAAGAGACAAACTTGTACTACTACCAGGAACACCAAAACAGTTATCAGAAAGAACAACATTTGGATCATTACCAGGGGAAACAGAATGTAAAGATGAATCAGAAAACAAAGAATTTGAAACCATTGGGAGTTGAAACAGCTTGTGCAGTCCGCTGTCAGGTCTACCAAGTACCACTGGCTTCTTCAGAGAAGGGCCTTGAAAAGTAAAGCCAGTGTTGGTAAACTGAACCATGTGACCAGGTTTAGCAACAAGCTTGTACACAGAAAAGAGATTGAATTTAAAACTAGGAATGTAAAGCACATTGTGAAGAATGAGATCAGGAAATAAAGCCAAAGAACCTACAATATGAACTTTAACTTTGTAACCATTTGGAAGAGACACTAGGTAAAGAACAAATAGTGGTTGTATGTTGAAAAGAAGAGATTTATCAGATGTCATGTGATCTGAGGCTCCATAATCTATAATCCAAATAACATTGTCTATTTTAGTAAGCAAGAAAGTTCTAACTGAACTATTCTCAGGCAGAAGCATGCCAGCAAAATTAGCAGATGCCACGAGTGTAGGAGGAGAAGATGGAGTGGAAATATGAGACTGTTGCAGCAACATCATGAGTTGAGAGTACTGATTTTTAGTTAAACCAGGGACTGAAGAGGCTTGGGAAGACTCGAGCTGTCCAACATTCTGTCCAACAGTGCTACTATCAATCCCAACATCACCAGAGTGATCAACCTCAACATGTGCAGCTGCTTTTCTAGGACCAAGCCCTTTAGTGAACTTGAAATTGGGAGGGAAACCATGCAATTTGTAGCACTTGTCAATAGCATGCCCTGGTTTCTTGCAATACTAGCAGATTAAGGAGGACTTTTGAGACTCTGAATTAAACCTTAAATGAGGATTTTGTGGTATGGGAGAGTCAAAATTGACCTTGGATGGTAAACTCTGTTTAAAAACCCCAACATTAAAGGAGGCAGAATTGTTGCTAAAATGAGATGCAGAGGAAACTTGTCTCTGTTCTCATCAGCCAAAAAAATGTTGTACACAGTGTTCATTGAGGGCAAGGGCTTCATCATGATTATGTTGCTCCTTACTTGAAGATAAGTATCAGTAAGACCCATCAAGAACTGATAAACTCTCTGTTCTTCCTCAACTTTCTTGTTACCCCCACATGTACAAACAGACAAATGGTTGGCAGAAATGGAAGATATCTCATCCCAGAGTTGTTTTATGGTATTGAAGTAAGATGCCATGTCTAGTGAACCTTGAGATATGTGTGCCAGCTCTTTCTTAAATTCAAACAACCTAGCTCCATCAGCCTTTCCATATCTCTCCTCAAGTTCACTCCAAATATCCTTGACCAACTCAGAATACTCAACACTACGAGATATTTCTTTGGTAAGGGAGTTTGTCAACCAGGAGATGACTAAATCATTGTATCTCTGCCATTGCCTTGCCAAAGGGGACTCAGTAGGTGGCTTGACAGATGAACCATTTATGAAATTCAATTTATTACGAACGGACAAAGCTACTAAGATAGTCCTATGCCAGCTAGAATAACCAGAACCATCAAAAGGAACAGAAATTAGAGAAGCACCCAAAACATCCAAGGGGTGAACATAAAGTGGGTGACATGGATGAGTGTAATCATCCGGATGAAAAACAGTACAAGATGAAGTTCCTACACTATCGACTAGAGTCTCAGAATTATTTTTCATATTGACAATCAACCAAAGCAACAAAAAAAACTGGACCAGACTACTAACAATAGTGGAATTCAAAAATTAAAGTTTCTAAAACAAAAAATTGTACATGCATAACAGAGAACAACAACAAGCTAACAAGTAGCTAGTGAGAAGAGACGATGTTACCAAAAACACCGTTCGCTACCGGAAGGGGACGACCTTGACAAAAATGAAGAGACGGACGGAGATTGTTGAGAAGATGAGCTGAAATAGGATTGACGCAGTCCAAATCCAAAAAATCACAGCGGCAATTTGAAAGAAAAGAACTCCTTTTTCATCAACGATTTCTTCCTTGCAAAACCTAGATTTCGATCTCCGACGAACACCAGAATCAGAATGAAATTCGGCAAAAAGAACTTCACTAATATCACCGCACATCGACGGAGGAATAGATCTTAAACGCCATAGCTCTGATACCATGTTAGATTCAGAGATCGAAGGAAAATGAGAAACACCCAATTAGGGTTCTAAGAGAAGAGAGAAAAAGAAATATCTGACTTTTTCTATATTTTCCAAAGGCTGTACAAAATAATTCTATTTTTCTATGTATTGTTCTCAGAAGTTGGGCCTCTATATATATAGGACCCGGAAGCCCAAATACAATAAGTACAAGATTTGAACTGGATGCCCAAATATTAAATACAGTTGGACTGCCACACATACTAACTAATATCAGTTCCTAAGCTATCTTCTAAGCTATGAATCCCAACATTTTAACAGGTTACCAATTAGCTTATAGTAGAAATGTACATGTAATTTACCATGAGCACATAAAACTAAATAAATACTTTTTCTAAGTAAAGTCTTTTTCACTTAGGAGTTACACTAATTAGGACTTACATGTCCAAGAAGGTTGAGGTGGTGGTCTGGATGAACAAATCGTCTATTCTTCTTTCCACTCACAATCTCTAGTACTAGTACTCCAAAGCTAAAGACATCTGATTTCACTGAAAATATCCCATCGATTGCATATTCTGGGGACATGTAACCACTGCAACAAAGAAACCGCATGATTATATAATGCAGGATATGCAAGTGCTCATAAACTACATGTCAAAGATTAAATCTTACTATGTTCCAACAACACGTCGTGTGTTGGCTCCTGTCTCGTCTCCTCCAAAACTTCTAGCCATCCCAAAATCTGATATCTTTGGTTTCATTTCATTATCAAGCAAGACATTGCTAGCTTTCAAGTCTCTGTGGATGATTCTGAGCCTAGAATCTTGATGAAGATACATCAATCCTCGAGCAATTCCTTTAATAATGTTGAAGCGCTTAGGCCAATCAAGTATTGCGCTCCTTTCTAAACCTGCCAAATGTTTTCAACTTATTACAATAATTTTTCAATAAACACGAAAGTAACCTCCACTTGAAATAAAATTAGAAGATCCCTTCTTGAACATTAGCATTTTAACTTTTTAAGTATGAGGTGTTTTATATCACTCATAACAATTGATTGCATTGAAAGAAATGGCGCACACTAGATGTGAAAGACTAACCAAATAAAAATAAATCCAGGCTTTTATTTGGCAAGTATTCATACACCAACATCTTCTCTACTCCTTGAATGCAGCATCCTAGAAGCTTTACAAGATTCCGATGCTGAAGTTTTGCAATGCAGTTAACTTCATTCTTGAACTCGTGAAGTCCTTGCTCTGATGTTTCTGAAAGCCGCTTCACTGCTACTTCTTGTCCATCTTCTAGGACACCCTGTAAAAGTAGCAGTCCTGTTAGAAATTCGATCGAGGGAATGGTCATTTTTGCACTACTATTCCAGTCAATTTCTTGTTTAGGCGGCATCCACTCACACACTTCATTTCTATTTAGAGGAGATGTTGCTAGAAACTGTTAAGCATACCACTAATTTGCACCAAAAAATGGACAAAATTTTCTCCCGTGGATGGATTGAAGCTTCACAGTATATGCCCCTTTCTTACTTTGAATTTGAAACCTTTGTTTTTTAATACATTGTTGGTCTCGAAATAAGGCTCTCTACTTATTACTCGTTCCACTCATCATACTATCATACACTGCTGTATGTACTGACCCCAAGAGTTAATTTTCATTTTGTGTAAAGCAAAGAAATTAGACGGCTTTGTTCAATGTGCTCTCGAGTCTTGAGTATCATTACTTGGAGTTTGAGAAATGTTTCTACCTTGTAAACTTGTCCAAAGCCACCCTCTCCAATCTTGTTCACAAATGAAAAGTTGTCAGTAGCCTTGGTTAATGTAAATAAGTCAAAAAGTGGTAGCTCAAAATCTTCAGAGTGACTTTGATTACTGTTATCATTCTTGTTGCTGTGACCACTTAATGTCCCTGCGATTTGAACATGTAGATAGACTTTGTTCAGACCACGCTCCACAAGAAATATTAGTGATAAACAGAATTAATAACCATAATTAGCCGCTTCAGGTTTTGTATGATTTGCTTACCCTTTGTTGTAATCACTGGATCCTCTCTCCTTCGTTTGTAAAGAATCAGGCCTACACCTAGACCTAGCAGAATCAACGCAACCAATAGTGGCAAAGCTACTGCAAGTATGACAGCTTTTTTTCCCTTTGATCCAGCTGAACCTGCAACATCTGCCATCCAAAAATTTTAAATAGTTGTTTCTACTAATAGTAGAAGTTTTTATCCACTTCTTTATACTTGTTCTATTTATTTCCTAGAAAACAGGAAGGTCCAAGAAGTCTTTTTCTCCGTAATGTGGAATATATGAGCTTTGCTGATGGCATTGAAGTAGTCCATCGCTAATGAAACGGGCATGAATGTGTTTAGGACAGCCTTAAGGATAGTAATCTGTGTGGAGAAGTAGAACCGCAACCTTCTTAAAGTTTACAGCTAGATCCTTGTATATACAATCCTCTTTCTTTATTTTCTGACAAGCCTTATCAAATTGAACTATTCAGTGAATCATTCTTGACCACAAGCATTGTGTAGTGAGAGTTTTGTACTATTATAGGTTTAACCTTGTGTAGTTCTTTCAAAACTTGCCAAGATTAAAGGCAGGGAGGTTTCATTTTGGCAAGAAAAAAGGTCTCTACAAGTTTCTTAGATGGCAGGGAGGTTTCATTTTGGCAAGAAAAAAGGTCTCTACAAGTTTCTTAGATGTTTGATGCTTTCTACAGAACGTATCTCAGGCAATCAGTAAATTGCATATTACCTATGTCCAAAGCAGACATCCTAATGTAGATATCCTGCCCTGATTGAGATAGCTGTCTGATGTCAACCAGCTCCCCAATCCATAACAAGCACCCACTTCCTCCATTGCGTATGTCCAGATTAGTATAACCCGTACACGAACAGTTTCTCAAGCAAACTGCCCTGCATTCATCTAGTGTCATTGTCTTATTGAACCAAGAAAATCGTGTATCAGGCAGTTTAACACCAGAGTACTTTAGAAACCTGTCTCCCGTGCAATTCAGTGGGTGTTTCCGCACACAACCACTCGACCAGTCTGACCTGATCCAATCATCTGGATGTTTTGGCTCGAATTTATCTAAACACTGACAAAAAGGATCACTCAGAATGTTGCAAGTGCTATATACACCACATAATTTGTAGGTATCACAGTCATCTGCATCTGCAGAGTGATAATTAACCCAACTCTGAGTCTTTTCAATCCAAATGATTCGCATAGTTTTCCCAAAAGGCTTTATCACTAAAGTCGAAATAACAGATTTGTTCACAAGTTCATAATTGTAATAAATTTCCCTACTGTTCATGATCAAGCCAAAAGAGATGATTGAGTTGTTCACCATGTTGGGTGCACCACTCCACCGAAGACCATTCCATGGCCCTGCTCTAAAAGTCACATTAGGACCTTTTCTCATAAGGTTTTGTGGATAACCAGTAGGATCACAATGATAAGTATAATCCCCAGGAGCAGGATCGTCATTGCTTCTCCACGAGCTAAGATACCTTTCTAATCCAGTCACCAAGTCCGTTCCAAGTTTCATACCGGCCAGCAATGTATTGCTAGGATAATCAAAGCTTTGCCAGAGGAAATTTTCAGGATTTGGATCATCTGCATCTCTCACCACAAAATTTCCAGTGTCTAGCAACTGTGCAACAGGATTTTGGACCGTTGTTGATGAATTGGTTGACCAAACAGTGGCATTAGTATCATTGACAAGAACAACAACACCTAACTGAATGACTTTCAAGACCCCAGATTTATTGGTGACAGGAGCTACTCTATTAGCAACCCAAACTGGAGTAATAACAGAGGGTTTCTTGTACCATATTCCAACATATCGATTTGTAGAAGTTTCTCCTGGACTGAAGAATCCTAATTCAAATGATCCACCAGAGGAAACAATAGTTTCACCATCTTTGATAAACTGAGTTGTAGTTATGGTATCCCCTTGACCATTAACCTTTTGATTAAAAACTATGGAGCAGATAAGTAGACTGAATAGAAATGTATACATGGCTATATTTTGGTTGCATCTTTCTTCAAAATAGTTAAAGAGAATCTATCTAACTGAGTGTTGGGCGGATAAGACAAGTCAATATGTCCTTTCTCTTGTGGTCTTCCCTTCCGTCGGTGGTTTGAGAGACGACCAAGACTTCATTTTGCAGGTCAATTCCAAGTACATAGGAGAACCAGCTCTTAATCATGGGTTTAGGGAGCAGATGGCGTGGCTTATTTGCTGCCAAGGAATGGAAATAAGATGCATAGTACTAAATATGAGATAGAACATTATAATTCCTGCCCTCATTTAATATGAGATAGATAATACCTAGAGTTTAGTATAAACATTATTTAGCTAATATCTATAACTAAATACAGAATAAATATAATCTCAAATTTTATAGAGGGATTAATTCCCCCGGTAACCAAACGATTGCTTAGTCTTTGGCAGTTCCACGTCTCCCTCAGTATGTTGTTAAAATTTTGGAAGCAGACAAATGGAAACTTAGAAGAATTACGGCTAGTGTGAACAAACTATATATTTCCGAGTGCAACAATGAGCACTCCATTTTGTAATTGATACATACTAACTAGTAATATACAAATATAACTATATTTTTAACCTGAAAAAAGAAATTCATTCTGTGACTCAACTTGGAAGATAAACTGGGTTTGGGATATTTGGACAATTTTGACACACTTGTCCACATCTTAGTTACTTTTTGGCAAAATACTCCTTATATATGGCCAAACTAGTTATTCGAAGTTCCTTATGCACTTGAATTTAACCACATGATTCACTACAAACGACTAAGAAATTGACAGTTCATACCAGTCTTGTCGTTCTTTAACTTTTTTAAGTTTAACTAAAAATTTCATGTATCACATTTGGTGGTTTAATAATAGTCAACAAAAGCCAAAAGAGAGAATTCACACATTTGTTTCTTTATCAAAAAAAAAAATCAAAATTACATACCGAAGGAAAGATAGACGATTGTGTGGTTCAGCAAGTCCAACAATCTTTAAACGATTTTCCTCATAAAACTTAGAATTAAGGTTTAATATATTAAAATTAATAATTCCGGGATTAATTATTACTTATGATTTACTTGGCTCATCACATTAAAAATGAGATAAGTAGTGTATAAAACATATGATTGGCTTTAAAACTGGATAAATTTTAGTTTCCAATTGTAACCTTGACCTTCTTTGAGTAAGCTAAAAAGAGTTTTCTTAGAAGGGAATTTTGTTTTTCAATCTTACTTGTTTTATCTGTTAGAGCATGCGTAGCGGAAGCAAGTATATAATCATGGTATCAGAGACATGTAAACTAGACAATGATTCAATACGGAGATTAAAAGTACTAACCTCTTGAAAACGTTGTACAGGTCATCCACAGAGCAAGAATCCAGGGTTACAGTCTTCTACTATGTTCCTTGTAAGACCTTGGACGAAATTGTTTGAGTGGGAAAAACAATACAACTAAGAGTGAGTTGTTAGTTGTTAGGTGAAACTAGTCTTCCTTTAATAGACCCGAAATTAAGCCACAATAAGGGCTCAAAAACGTGTAGGATTATGCTAGTGCAAGTAGAATCCTACTCTAACTCAAAAGGATAACTTTTCTCCCAAGTCACTTTCTACCCAAGTCTGTCCTGGTTTTTACTAGGTATAGCAGAGACCACAGAAACAATAAGAGGCTACTAATTATAAAATTAATTCAAAAATTCGGATGAATTAAATTCTACTATAATTAATTACAGTTTATTCCACTAAAAACACACAATTGAACTCCTCAATATGAATATCGAAAATTCACTAACACTTATTTTACCCCCCATGTTAAGATTACAAATACTTGTTAATTAAACTAAATCACTAACAATTTAATTTAATCAACTAATTAAATCCTTTATAATTACGCTTAAACTATTTCATGTGACGGATACAAAATTCACTGGCGGGGTTTTCACATGAAAACTTATAAGCATACATAAAGTGGTATCATCAAACTCAAAACTGAGTCACAGATTCTATCAACTAATTATTATTTCACAAATGATATTCGTTATTATCCAATTTATTAGGCATACACTAACTTTGAATAGAGTTGTACCTTTTGATAAATCAAAATAATAAACAAATCACATTGATCATAATAACTATATCAAGATTAGGAGTATAAGATTATTTAATGAATTAGAGAAAATATTTTATATATATTTAGTACAAAACATATTTTCTCTACTTGGTCCGTTCAATATACACTAAGTATACTAGCACAAGAAGTTGGAGCAAAACCACTCCCATAATCAAGATAAATTATACTTTAATCTTGTGCTACAATCATTAAGATATTTTTTCCAACAATATCTTCGATTGTGAACATAGTTTATTAATTATGAGAACCGACCATTTAATCTTCTTTGCATGAGCTAAGACTTCATACACTAAATTGTCTACTACATAACTAAATGATACACATGTAACAAATAATCTATTTAAAATAATACTTTATTGAATTGAATAAATGAAATAAATAATTATTCTATAAAGAATAAAATAAAATACTATATCTAAACCGCATGATTAACAGTGTATCCCAACAATCTCCCACTTAGACTCATAACCATGCGTCTACAACTCTAATATCCATCCCTTCTACATGCTTGTAAAAATTCTGTTGTGGCAAGCTCTTTGTAAACGGGTCTGCCAAATTGTTCTCTGATGCAATCTTCAACACTTTTGCATCACCTCTCTGTATTATGTACCGAATTAAATGATATTTACGTTCAATATGCTTACTCTTTTCATGGCTACTTGGTTCTTTCGAGTTTGGAACTGCACCACTATTGTCACAATAAAGTACAATTGGTGCTTGAATGTCACGACCTAAAATCTTAACCTGTCGTGATGGCGCCTATATCGATACTAGGTAAGCCGACAACCTCAATAAATCACAATTTCTTTTTAAGTTTAAAAATATAATATTTAAGCACAATTCACAAGTCTCGCAAATACTGATACACACACTTCCAAAATCTGGTGTCACCGAGTACATGAGTATCTATACATTACAAGTCTAGACAACACAATCTATAATAATCTGAGACCAAATACAGTAAAGAGAGAGATAAGAAAGGAGAGACAAGGTCTGCGAAACATGACAACTACCTCTGAATCTCCGAAAAATCGGTTGTGTGAAAGAATTAACACCCACTGTATCCGGGATCACCTGTTTCTGCACACGAAGTGCAGGGGTGTAGTATGAGTACAACCAACTCAGTAAGTAACAATAATAAATAAATAACTAAAAGTAGTGACCAGCTTCTCAGCTAAGTCCAAATACGATACTTTCTAATATAAAAGAGTAAGCATGCTCTCAAGTTCAACATTTAAGATTTTACTGAAATTTCATATCAAGTTTGACCAAAACATAAAATAATATTTTTTTGAAATTTCCAAAATAGTGATATATTACAACTGAAATGCAGCAAATAATGAAATAAATGCATCATCTCAGAGTAACAGTCACTCAGTCCTCTTATTCACTCCAACCTCACATCACTCTTTCTTCACAGCCACTCTTTCCTCACAGTCTCTCATTCCTCACAGTCACTCATCACTCGGCACTCGCATTCAGCACTCGCACTCAGTAGGTACATACGCTCACTGGGGGAGTGTACAGACTTCGGAGGGGTTCCTTCAGCCCAAGCGCTAAATCAAGCCAATCATGGCATAAATCAATAAAACATGCTGCGGCGTGCAACCCGATCCCATAAATATCCTCACAATTAGGCCCTCGGCCTCACTCAGTCATCAACCTCTCCAGTCTCTTGGGCTCTCAGAAATCATGATAAGCAGCCCAACAACAATGATATGATGCCTCAATAAATAGCAACATAGACTGAGATATGATACGAAATGAATTAACATGACTGAGCGTGAAATTACAATTCTTGAGCGTATAATTCAATCACAGAAATGACCCCACTGGGTACCAATAATAACAGCATATGTCTAAGCATGATTTTTAATATGAGTCTCAGCTCAATTTTCTCTAACACATAGAGAATGTACGGATATCAACAAATAATTCAACTACACAGTCCAATAATATTTGTCTAAATCACAATTCATATAGTGCACGCCCACACGCTCGTCACCTAGCATATGCATCACCTCCAAAACCAATCACATAACACATAATCCAGGGTCTCATACCCTCAAGACCAAATTTAAAAATGTTACTTACCTCAATCCGAGCAATTCTTTATTCCAATAAGCCTTTTCCTCGCGATTCGGCCTCCAAATGCCTCGAATCTAAGTCAAAATAATACGATATAATCAACACGAGGTATAGGAATCAATTCCACATGAAAATGCTATATTCCACAAATAAATCCAAAATTAACTCAAAAATTAACAGTGGGTCCCACATCTCGAAACCCGACAAAAGTTATAAAATATGAACGCCCATTCAACCACGAGTCAAATTTGTGAAGTTTTCCTCATATTTATAGAGCCTCTGACATTTTCGAGCGTCACAGGTAGCGTGGGGCGCTGTCTGTGGTGCAATTTCCAGTATCCCAAAAATTCATAGCGACAGGGCTAGCGCCCCACGCTACCCTGGACGCTGGCGGCGACGAAAAATCGTCCCCGACACGGAAATGGGCACTCTCTCATACCATGTCCGAATTCGACGATTCTTTTTGCTATGGCTCCGAAATTTCAATACGGGTGTCTAATGCTTCAATAAAATACGAATTTGGAGCTCATTTACTTAATGTGATACCAATTATTCTCGAAGAAATAACGTCGGAACATTCTACATTCGCTGCCGAAACTTAGCAGATCAAGTCCGATTGACCTCAAATTTTACACACAAGTCATAAATGACATAATGGAGGTATTTACAATTTTTATAATTGGATTCCGGCCCCGATATCAAAAGTCAACTCCCCGGTCAAACTTCCAACTTAAATTTCTATTTTAGCCATTCCAAGCCTAATTTAACTACGGACTTCGAAATAATTTTCCGGACACGCTCCTAAGTCCAAAATTACCATACATAGCTATTGAAATCATCAAAACTCTATTCCGGGGACGTTTACACATAAGTCTACATCCAGTCATTATTTTAACCTAAGCTTTAGACCTTAGAACTAAGTATTCCAATTCATTCCAAAACCTCACCGGACCCGAACTAATCACCCTGGCGAGTCACATAACAACTGTAAAGCATAAGCTGAGCAGTAAATG